CAAAGGCATGCTAGTGGCTTGTGAGCGGGAGGGTGTGGACTTCATCTAGACCTTCTCCCCTATCCCAAAGATGACTACTGTTCGGGTGCTCCTTCACCTAGCCGCGCAGTGTGACTACAAGCTCCACTCATTGGACTTCTCCACAGCCTTCCTACAGGGTAGTCTGCACGAGCAGATCTACCTCCGGCGCCCTCTAGGCTTCTCTTGGTCCTTCCCATCTGGGACCGAGTGGAGCCTGCGCCGCCCTCTCTACGGCCTACATCAGGCGCTTTGTGAGTGGCACGACACACTCTGTGCCACAATTGCTGCTCTCCAGTTCTTCCCATTCTCTGCTGACCCCTCGATCTTTGTCCGTACTGGTCAGACTCAGTACATGGGGGAGCTGCAGCAGTATCTAGGCTTGGAGATCTCTCGTGACCATGCCGCCCGCACGATCACTCTCTCCCAGTCCCACATGGTGCAGCAGATCCTTCAGAGGTTCAGTCTCTAGTTCTCCTCAGCACAACCCACCCCTCTGCCTATGAATTACAAGCTCTCTGCACCTGTTCTGGCTGGGCTGGGCGAGCCCAGTGGTCCATACGCAGAGCTGGTGGAATGTCTCATGTGCCTGATGATGTGCACTCGACCAGATCTAGCGTACCCTCTCAGGCTCCTTGCTCGCTTTGTTGTGACAAGCAGGCACTGGCCAGTCCACAGGTCGGCTGCCAAGAGGGTGCTGCGATATTTTGCCGAGAGGGTCCTGGGGCTTGTGCTAGGAGGACGGGAGCCAGTGGTACTCACTGGTCACATAGACGCGTCGTGGGCTGACGACTTGGAGACACTCAGGTCCTCACAGAGCTACTATTTTAGTCTTGGTGCGGGTGCAGTCTCGTGGAGGTCAACTTGGTCGTCGTCTGTAGCTCAGTCCAATTGTGAGGCAGAGATCTACGCTGAGGCCATGGCCGTTCAGGAGCTCCGTTGGCTGACGTTCTTGTTCACCGACTTAGGTGAGCAGCCTAGGTCTGCCCCGGTCCTGTTTGCTGATAGCAGGGCCATAATCCTCCTGTGTCAGGAGGCTCGACTTAAGGGCAAGGTGAAGCACATCCAGCTGCGGTACTTCTTGCTGCCTGAGTTGCAGTAGTGCTATCATGCTCGAGTTTTATAGTTGGCCGCAAATGCCAGCAGTGCGAGCAGAGTCAAAGGGAGGAATGGAGGAAAGGGGTAGGCATGACAGGAATTGGATGAGCATGAGGAAAGGACCATATGGTGGACACGAGCACAAGGAGAGACAGGACGACCACCAGGGGGATGACGCATCTACGAGTGGGCAACGGAGGACGGTACAGGGGACGAAGGAGAAGGGAAACGATCTGGAGACAAAGTTTGGGGTAGGGAACAGCGGGCCGTAGATGGGGGCAGGTAGGAGGGGAGGCGCTGTGGGAGTTACGAGCTGGCAGTAAGGGGAACTAGTGATAAGGCCGAGGAGACGAAGGGCAGACTGCGGCTGGTGCTGCTGTTGCTGCTGCTGCTCCCGGTCCACGCCAAGACCCCCAGTCCCACCACGGCCAGTACTCTCTGAGTCAGCACCCCCAGTCCCCACGGTCCCTTGCCGCTGCTACTATAGCTGCGGCTCCAGTGACGGCTGTGGTGGCTGCCGCAGTGGGGGAGGCTGCTAAGGTGCCTAGAGCACCAGAGTTGGGGAGAGGGGAACTGTAGCTGCGGCAGGCGCATCCCCAGCCACGGGGCTCCGAGAGTCAGAATCCCCTAGAGGCCCAACCAAGGTGAGGGGGGTGGCGTGGGAGACACCAGACGGGCCAAGGCGGGGTGGGAGGGGAGCAACAGGCGGGGCAGGGGTGGGGAAGAGAGGGTGCGGAGGAACCCGAATGCCACGGTGAGGGAAGCGAGCGTGGTGGGGACAGACACGTCAAACGTAACGTCACGGGATTCAAAGAAGCGGTGCTGCACCGGGTGGTAGAACAGCCAATCAGGAGCGTCGAGTGGGAACCCAAGGAAGACACAGGGGAGGGTGCAGGCCAAGAGCTTGTCCACGCTGGTGCCGCGATCGTGAGCCAGGCAGCCCAATACGTGGAACGCACAGGCGTCACCAGAGGACCCAGTCCATAGGAGGGTCGGAGAAACCTATGGCCGCAAGGTGCTAGACCACCGGTTAAGCTGATGAGCCGCGTACCGCATCGCGAACGGCCACCAAAAATGGGGGGCACTGGCATGGACCATGGAGGTGCGAGCCACCTTTATGATCAAGCCCATGCACTTCTCAGTGACCCCATTCTGCCGCGGCGAGTCCGGTAGGGTAAATGTCTGGGTGATGCCCTCTGCACAGCAGCGCCCTTCAAGACGGTTTGAGGCAAACTCGCCACCACGGTCGGAGTGAAGGCGGAGCAAGGGCAGGGAGTGTTGGGCGCGGACAACTCAGAGCCACGAGAGGAGGGCTTCAGGCACGTCAGCCTTTCGCGATAACGAGAACACCGTGGTATACGACAACCAAGAAGTAGCGCATGCTGTGAGTCCCAAGGGGTCGGCCCCCAACGTCCATGTGCAGGGTCTGAAGCTGTGCAGTAGCCAGAGGGAAGAAGGAGTGAGGGGCGGCGCATTGCGAGCCCTCAACGCAGGAAGTGCACACGAGCGCTACCGAGCCAGGGAGCGATGCTTGGAGACTAGTGACCAGGCCGTGCTGTGCCGTATGACGGAGACGCGAGAGGGCAGGGTGGCCTAAGTGGTGGTGCCGAAGGAGCGTCGGGTGGGTGAGGGAGCGACAGGAGCAGGACGTGGCGACTTGGGTGGACCAGCTACCTGGGGGGACTCCATGTGCAGTGTGCGTCTGCTAGGGAGATCGGCACCGGTGCCGGAAGTGGTGTGAGAGCAGTACTGTCTAAGAAGGAGTAGTGAGACACTCTAGAGTCGAGTCTGAAGGAGAGGGTAGCTGCAGCGGGGCCGGTATGCACCTGGTACGCATAGCGCACGGATCTCCCAGGTCCCATGCCACCCTGGCCTACGGAGGAGCCACTCGAATCCCAGGGCACCAATTGCCCCGGGACCTAACCACCAAGGCCCCCACCATGCCCAACACTCCCAGGGCCCACTGGCCCCCCACGGCAGCAGCTGCTGCTGCTGCTCTGGCAGCGGCGGTTGCTACCGCTGAGGCTGCTGCGGCTGCTGCTGCTCCCCCTCCTCCTCCGTACCGGCCCCTCTCCCAGCACCCTGGGCCCCACCAGCACCCCACTGCCTGCCGCTGCCGATGCCCCACGTCCACGAGAGCACCGCGAACAACCTGAAGAGCGACAGAGGCCAGCACAGAGGCAGCGAGGGAGGTGGAGAAGAGGTCGATAGTGAGGTCAGCAGAGTGCAGTGCGAGGGGGGCATTGCACATAGGGGCGAGGCGGTCAGGGAGGAGGTAAATAGTGATGGGGGTAGGTGGGAGGAGCGCGGTAAGCTGGGCCTTGGTGCAGGCCACGTGCTAGTGGGCCTTGAGGGAGCGCAGGTGCGAAACGAGGTCCGCGGCCGTGGGGAACGAGGCCAGGTCGGGGAAGAGGAACAGGAGGGAGAGGCGACCGAAGGTGGCGGAGTTCGGGGTCAAGTAGCAGGTGACGATCGCATCCCAGAGGGCCTGAGCCATCTTCTCCGACGCGAAGTGGGAGTGCTCATCGACTGGCAGGCACCGGCTGGTGGCAACTTGCGCGGCGGCGTCGCGTGACTCCCAGATGGAGAGGGCAGTCCTGACAGCCTCGTACTCTGCACGCTGCTCCGACGTCGCCTCGGCGCCAAGGGGAGCGGGGCGAGAGGTGGTGGGCAGCTCACCACTGACATGGGTCACAAGCGACTCACCATCCAGGCGCTGGCTCGTTAGCTGCTTGCGCAAGGCAGAAAGCCAGGCTGCGAAATCGACTGCGCGGCCTTCGGCGCCCAGCCGAAGGACGAACACCGACGCCGACGAGGCTGCCATGTTGGCAGGAGGCCAAGATGCCGCACGTACCCGGATAGTGGCTAGTGTTGACGGGGGCGACGTACGACAGCAGATTCGATGGCAGTGGCGGCAGTAGGGCTGGCGGCAGTTCCAACGACAGGGCCGGCGGTAGCGGCAAAGTTCATGCAAGGCTTAAGCAAGGCGCAGGATGGGGCGGAGTCGGCAGAGTGCGGGCGTGGCGCAGCAAGCGCGGGGCAGCACGGAAGGCACAGCGCAGCGGGGCGCGGACAGGACGCAGCGAGTGCGGTAGATGCTACAGGCGCTGCACGAGGCGGGGCGGCACGACATGGCAGGCGTGACAATTGCAACGGATACAGCACGCGCGATAGGCATGGACAGGGCGCGGCAAGTGCGGCAGGCGTGGCAGGTGCAGCGGGTTGTGGCGCGGTGGGGCGCAAGCGCAGGCGCGGCACAGCTCGGCGCGGTGCGGGTACGACAAGCGCGGCATGCATGGGCAGGGCGCGACCAGCGCGGCAGACGTGGAAGGCACAGCTTGGGAGGCGTGGCTGGCACAGTGCGGCAGGCGCAGCAGGCGCGGCAGGTGCACCGAGCAGTGGCGCGGCGGGGCGCGGCGCGGGCTAGGGCGTGGCGTGGCGCGGGTAGTGCGACGGAGCCTACGAGGCGCTAGGGGCCAGCGGGGCCTACGGTGTGCTAGGGCTAGGGCTAGGTCGGGAGGTAAGCGGGGATTACCTAGGGCGGAAGCGTGGAGGCTAGGGTCTAACCTAGCTCTGATGCCATGTCAGAATGAAAGAACTGACTGACTGAAACAGAAACATAAGAGGGTTCAAGTATTGGGGCTGTCCTCACTACAATCTGCACCTAGCTAACCTGTAGTGCATTTATATATATATATATATATATATATATATGTGATTTACATGTACGCTAAGACTAACAACCCTTGCAATTTTGCATGCGTAGTTTTGTGCTAATATTGAAAGTTTATAAAACATGTGTTCTGGTATTTGGGATATTTGAAGTTGGGAGAGCGAGAAAACGGTGTGATAGTGGATTGAGTAATGGATTGATGAAAGCCCTATATGGATTTTCAATTGCACGAGGCTCACACATTTATAGTAAACACCCTTCCAAGGGTGTCTCCAGCGATGATAACGTTGCCATCACATGTCCACCGTAGCCTAATAAATACACCATCATCCACTATTGAATGCTTCCCATTCTCTTCTCTGCCCTGCTCACTATCGTAACACACGTCACCAGGCCTTGTTGGACACTGTTCAGGCTTACCCACTGTATTGGACTCTGTAGATGCCACTGTCGAACGCACTGTAGAAGACATTGTAGCGACCGGATAGCGAGTGCTGGAGGCCAGGTCCCAGAGCTGAATCCTCCTGGAACCAAGAGATACTGCGAAGGTGGAGAGGCTTGAGGGGCACCAGCGCACATCGTGACACGTGTCGTTGATTGATTGGAGGGTGAGAAGCGGTCTGCTTTGGGGGTGTTGGGAAGGTGATGAGTGGGGAAAGAGGGGGGGGAGAGGATGTGGGGAGGGTGCCAGGGGATTTAAAAGCGAAATCCTTGAGGATAAGTCATCCTTGCAGGGCCACAAAGGGGGGATAACGGTGGAGAGGGGTTGAGGGGCACCAGCGCACATCGTGACATGTGTCGTTGCATGATTGGACGGCGAGTAAGAGCCTGCTTAGGAGACTGTGGGAGGGAATGAAAACCAGGGGCCTTTGGAGTGTTGACTTGAGAAGGATAAAGAAAGGAATGGCATGTGTATGAGGTCACACCAGGGACAAACGGGGCCTGTCTAAAGAGACAGCACGACGCAAGATGGCCTATCTGTGGTGGAATGCTGTCGACCCGGGCTTTAAGAAACGGAAGAAGCGAGTTCTTGGGGCGATATCTCCATGGCATGCAGACAGCGTGACGCGAGACAGCTGACCTGCCACAAGGGGAGAAATCTGGCTAACGTGATGCAAGGAGGCCTACCTGACTTACTTGTGGGGGACAGCTGACGACCAGGGCTTGACGGTCCAATCCCCGGAGTTGGAGAGAATCAAATCACCATGCCATGGCATACCAGCACTGTTGTTGCACGGCATGGTGACGCCATCATGGCATGGGATGGTGACGTCGCGATGGGATGGCTTACCTGGCTTACATGATGCCAGGAAGCCTGTCTAGCTTACCTGTGGCGGGCAGCTGGCGGCTAGAGCTTGACGGTCCAATCCCAGGAGCTGCTTTTGAGGCGCCTCAAGATGAGCTTTACTCAAGAGGAGGCCCTGTCTAGCTTGCCTGTGCAAGATGCAGGACGCAAGACGGCCTATCTGGCCTACCTGGCCTATCTGGCCTACCTGGCCTATCTGGCCTACCTGGCCTATGTGGCCTACCTGGCCTATCTGGCCTACCTGGCCTATCTGGCCTACCTGGCCTATCTGGCCTACCTGGCCTATCTATCTGGCCTACCTGGTCTATCTATCTGGCCTACCTGGCCTATCTGGCCTACCTGTGGGAGACAGCTGATGACCAGAGCTTGACGGTCCAATCCCAGGAGCTGGAGAGAATCAAATCGCCCTGGCATGGCATGCCAACACTGCTGCTGCGTGGCATGGTGACGCCATCATGGGATGGCGTGGTGAAGCCGCGATGGGAGGGCACCACGTCATGCCACTCCCCCACAGCATCTCCCCTGCTGCTGAGAGAGTTATCAAAACCGCTTCTTGTGCTGCTACTGCTGGGCTGCCCAGCGCCGGTAGCACTACTGCTGTGACAATCCAGGTTACCAAGGAGGAATGTGAGCCAGAGGGGAGGGTCGGAGGAGAGCAGGGAGGCGCATGGGTGGCAGTGCAGGCCGGAGATGAAGGCGCTTTGGTGATGTGTGGCTGGGGGATGGGGGAAAAGGGGGTTGGGGAAGGGAGAAAGCGACAGGAGGCAGTGGTGAGAGAGCGAACGAGCAAGGGTGAGCCAGAGAGGAGGGTTGGAGGAGAGGGGGGAGACGCACAGGTGGCAGAGAAGGCCGGATACGAAGGCGCTGTGGTGTGACGCTGAGGATTGGAGGACGCAGGGGCGAGGGAGAAGGGGGAAAAAGGGGGGAAAAGGGGGGAGACGACATGGAAGGGAAATTAGCCCTGAAACGGCTGTGCATGGGCGGCAGTGGTAGCCGGATATGAGGGCGTTGTGGTGCACGGCGGACGGATGGGGTTGGGGCATCGTGATTGACAGCATAGTGAGCCGAGAATGGAGAAGGGGGGAGGGGGTTGAGGGGGGAGGAGAATTAAGGGGGCACGGGGAATGGAGGGGATACAGGGGTATGAAAGCACAACAGCCGAAAGCTGGCAGTGCATGTGAGGAAGGATTGCAGTGTGAGGAAGGATTGCAGTGTGAGGAACGATTGCAGTGTGAGGAAGGACTGCAGTGTGAGGAACGATTGCAGTGTGAGGAACGATTGCAGTGTGAGGAACGATTGCAGTGTGAGGAACGATTGCAGTGTGAGGAACGATTGCAGTGTGAGGAAGGACTGCAGTGTGAGGAAGGACTGCAGTGTGAGGAAGGACTGCAGTGTGAGGAAGGACTGCAGTGTGAGGAAGGACTGCAGTGTGAGGAAGGACTGCAGTGCGAGGAAGGACTGCAGTGTGAGGAAGGACTGCAGTGTGAGGAAGGACTGCAGTGTGAGGAGAGGGTGAGGGAGGGAATGAGAACAAGGTGAAGAGAGCGTGAGGAAGGCGGACTGGAATTATAGGAACGTGCTAGGTGTGGGAGGGTGGAGCTTGGAAGGTGGAGGGTGGGGGGTGGAGGGTGGAGGGTGGAGGGTGGGGGGGTGGGAGGGTGGGGGGTTGAGAGGAGGATGACACCTTAGGCTAAGTGGTACTGCTGACGAGGATGAGATGGTCAGTATGAGCTGAGTTGGGTTTTTACGAATGGTTTTGGAGTTCGCAAAAACAACCTTAGGCTAAGCAGTGTTGCTGAAGTAGGATGAGACAGTGAATGGGGAATTGGGAGCAAGGTTGAAAAAAAAGGCAGGCCGTTTTTTTCGGTCGTTTAAAACGGTTTTTTTAATTAAAAAAACGCCGTTTTTTAATAGATTTTATTTTTCCAATTAAAAAAAAAAAAAAAAAAAAAAAAAAAAAAAAAAACAGGGACAGAAGGGGACAAAATAAACGACTATTGGTGGCTGTGGCATGCATAGTAGGGGTCCTAACTGAACTAAATAGGACCGCCAAAGCTCGAATCTGCCGCATATTCCTCCTACTACTTATTTCCCCCCTACACTACCTCCTACCCATCCTCCTCCTCATCCACCTACCCCTCCTCTTACCCCTCCTCCTCCCCCTCATCCGTTGTAGTAGAAGACAAGGCTCCCCTTGCGCGTTCCTTGCAAAGTCGGAGTTGCACTCCGCAATATTCTTGAATTTCGATGCAGGGATTCCGTAAAGGTGCTCTTGTATGCGCGTCGCACTACCCGAAATGTTCAAACCGCAGTGCAAGCATTCCGACCGGATGACCTTGCCATCGTCATCCCGAGTATGCTTCACATGCGCCCACAAAGGGGATGGGGCGCGGGGCATGGCGATAAGGCGCCTACATCTCACGAGGCTGTTGAGTGCTGGATCGCGCCTGAAATACGTGCCGGAATCGGCGTGAAGTAGTTCAGCCACACTGGCTTGGCCATAGTTTTTAAAATTCGACCGTATAAAACGACTTTTTTTTTCAACCAAAAAAGCTAACTTTCAGAACCGTTTTAAACCGTTTAAAACGACCGAAAAATACTGTACCATAGCAAACTGTCTAAATATGAAAAAAAATGCCGTTTTTTCAAACCTTGATTGGGAGTCGCTTGGACTTACTGAGGCTGCTACTGACCTGACCTTAGGTCAGGAGTCGCTTGGGCTGGGAGAAAGAGGATGAGACCTTAGGCTGAGCAGTATTGCTGAAGTACGGAGGCTGCGCCTTACCTGACTCCCGTCCTCGCTTCGCCTTGAGTCGACCCAAAATCGCTGGTTGGAAACTTGGGCCTTAGAGTGAACTGAAATAGGTTGGTTGGAGACTTGGGGGATGTTTATCAGCTACTGAGGGCTCCTCTTACCACACTCGGATTCTTGCTTTGCAGGTATTCCTGATCGGCTGGGGGTCAGAGGCACGTAAGCAGACGCAGATGCTGACACAGCAGATGACGTGGCTGCTGAGGTGGCAGGGGCGCAGGCCAAACAGGAGCCAAACTGGAAGTCGAGCCTTGATTGGTTGGGGGAGGAGGAGGAGGAGGTAGAGGGAGAGGCGGTGAGGGGGAAGGGAGAGAGATGTCCCTGGAACACGCCACCACAGTCCGTCCCCATGTAAAACACTCCGTGTGAAGCCCCAGGTGAATATCCAGGTGCTTTTTCAGGTGCATTCCCAGGTGCTCCCCTCCACGCAGGTGTCGTCCCCATCTGCAGCTCTGAGGGCACCAGGGGCCACTGGGTGAGCATGCGCCAGCTGTCAGGTGAAACGCCAGGTGGGGTGAGGGGAACGACCTCCAAGGGCTGTTGGCAGGGACGGGGAGAAGCAGAGAAGAGAAGATGGAAAGGGAGGAGCGGGGGGAGGAGTGGAAGGAGGAGAGGAGGGGAGGTGAGGTGCTGAGGTGAGGAGGGGAGGTGAGAGGTGCGGATGTCGGTGTGTGTGGTGTGAGAGGGTGAGAGCATAGTGGACGGACATTAAATGAGAGAGGAAGGGGCTGAGTTGACTCGAGATATAGGTGAGCCCGTTCCAGCTGTCAGGTGAATCCCAAGGTGGGGGTGCAGAGGGGGAGAAGGATAGCGGACGCATAAAAGTAGTACAGCAGGGGAGGGAGGCGGAGGGGAGGGGACAGGAGGGGAGGGAAGCGGAGGGGAGGGGAAGAGGAGGGGAGGGAGGAGGAGGGGAGGGAAAAGGAGGGGAATCAAGCGTGGAGCAAAAGTTGGGGCGGATTGAGAGGAGCATGGGATACCCTCACTCGAATCCATCTCCGGGTTACCTCCATCAACACTCGCTGCCATATCGCGGCATCGACCCAGAGAGGACAAGGTAAGACGAATCATAGCATGACACCGGCGATGGCATGGCACGGATATGGCATGACACCGTTTATGGCATGCTACAGTATCCTCCAGTCCATCACAAGTGCCCCACTCACCGTGGCCATCATTCGCCTGCTCCATCTCAGCAGCCTCCCTCCAGCGCTGCCACTCAGCACCTCCTCCCCACTGCTTTCCCCCGCTCCTCCTGATCCTGCCACCCCTCCTCCACCTATTAATCCTCTTCCTCCCCCTCCTCCTCTTGCTCCCCCTCCTCCTGCCGCCAGTGACGTCACTCGTCTGCCATCCGCCGCTCTCCACGGCGCCTTTCCCGGTCCCACCTGGCACGGATCCCCTCCCACCCGCAAATCCCAGAATGCCACGTGTCCGTTTCGAGTCCCCCCTAATAGCAGGTTCGGGTCGTCGGGTACCCAGAGGACGGTAGTGACTCGCGAGCTTCTAAAAGAGAGGGATTCTAATGGGGACAACGGCCGGTCCCTCGTCCACACGGCCACGCATCCGTTATTATCACAATCGTCTCTGTCACTATAAAGGCTGGCGCCAGATCGAACGGCTGAGGTGACGGAGAGCCTAGACTGAGTGCAATCCTGAGCGTTGACGATGTTCAAACGAGATTCGTCAATTGACGGAGACGGCGGACCGACTGCTGACGGAATGTGAACGGAAGACGAATTTGCGGTGTCGTAACTGACGGCTAACAGGCGAGAATCCGACGGATGGCCGTCTATCGAGACTGCTGCTGGAGCAGACGGAACGGACTTCGGCGGCTGAAGCACAGATTCGATCGTCAGTTTCCTCGCCATTCCTGATATATGCGAGCCGGCGAAGTCCTCAAATAATCAACAATCAAATAGTATTTGTCCCAACCATCTGTCGCATTTTATTTGTCGTGGTCATCTATCGTAATCCGTTCTCAGCCAAACAGGTTAAGTGTCGGGAAAGACGGGCTAGAAGTAGAGCCTATGACCCGTGAGACTAGGAATTCTAGGAGAGTATCGGCTGGAATCCGCTTTTAGAAACCCGAAACCCGAATTCGGTAATCCCGAAGAACTGCTGCCTCCCACTCTGGTCCCTCCAATCAGCTTAGAGCCGATTCCGTCCGTTGACAGAACTCCCTAGGCCATAATTAGTGAGCGACAGGCCTGCTGAAAATGTGGGTGTTCTGAGGTGAGCGCGATGCGCTTATCATGGCGGAAATGGTGGTGACTGTATGGCTGTGATTCCCCTGTGGTGCCTGTTACTGAATGAAATGTACATCAAACCGAGAGAATATTCAGGTCTGATAAATGGACATCACAGAACACAATAGGTAGAATTAGGATAGGAAAATAGGGTCATACATGTACCATGGCCAAATTCAAATATATGCAGCTAATAGCTGTGAGAAAGATAGATAAACACTGCAAAAAGATGTGTAAAATCAGTACAGCGATTTTGGAAGTGCAAGTTTAAGGCAAATTATATTTCCAACAAGCCAGTCTAATACAGCGCTTCAGAGTTTTGTGGTAACCTCTGGGAACTTCTATATTTATAGTTATAGGCTAGATTGGTGCATGCTCTTAGAGAGTACAACCCACAAGCATAATAACGCCCTGTATGCACTTGCTTAGTTCAATTCGCTATTCTGCGATGGTATCAGACTAGGTTAGGTCTCCCCACCCTTGCTTCCGCCCTAGCCTGCCCTAGTCCCCGTGCATCGCCCTAGACCCCAAGCCTCGTTTAGTCGCGCTGCCCTAGCTCGCCGCCGGCCCCTTGCTCGCCACGCGGCCCCTTGCTCGCTGCCGGCCCATTGCGCGTCGCGCGGCTCCTAGCTTGACGCCAGCCCTAGCTCGCCGGTCCCAGCTCGCCGGCCTCGACTCGCGCCGCCCTCAGCTCGCCGGCCCCCGCTTGCGCTGGGCCCAGATCGCCGCCCCCAACTCGCCGGCCCCAGCTCGCCAGCCCCAGCTCGCGCCGGCCCCAACCCCCGTCGACCCCAACTTGCGCCGACACTGGCTCGTCGGCCCCAGCTCACCGTCCCCAGCTCGCCAGCCCCAGCTCGTGCCGGCCCCGGCTCGTCGGCCCTATCTCGGCTCGCGCCGGCCCGTTGCTCGACGCCGGCCCGTAGCCAGCCTTAGCTCGCCGCACCGCCCGCTTCGTCGCCGGCCCCGCCTGCCGCGATGCCGCTGCTCGCAGTCGCCGAGCTACCCGCCCCGTGCCCGGCCCCAGCTCGCCGTGCCACCCGCCCCGTGGCCGGCCCCGTGCTGCCGTGCCGACCCAGTTTGCCGGCCCCTCCTCGCCACTAGCCCTGGTTCCACTCTGAGCCGGCGCTTCGGTCGGCTGTCTCCTTTGCTTCGGTTTCACTGTGCTCCACCTGTCACAGGATCGAATGACTCGAGGAAAGATTGCCCTATCGATCAGTACAAGGCGCTTTTATACTTCCAGAGTACATCAGGTAACCGGGTTTATCTTATCCTAAGGAAATAGACCCTTCTAGAAAATAGAATCACCCTGCGTATAGCCATGCGAGGCTATTGGCTTTAAGGGATTACGGCAGGATTACGCTAGATATAGCGCCCAGTACATCCCAAGCCTGGTCGGTGATATAATTATAATAGCAGGATAAACCAAAGGTTAAAGGAAAATGGAGAATAGGAAACCAAATGAGATGAGATAAAAAGAGAAATGAAATAGGAAGGAAATAAGGAAAGACCAAGTGGTGTAACGGGGTCGTACTCTCATATTTCCCCCCCTCAAAGCTGGATGGTAGTAGTAACACCCTGCTTGACAAGGTAGTCATGCAGAGGACGACAGGCGTTACCCATGTCGGACTCAGGTACCCAGCTGTCCTCAGAAGGATCATAACCCTTCCAACGGATGAGAAGCTCCACAGTGCCATTCCGACGACGGCGGTGTGCGAGCACGGACTCGACCTCGTACTCGGGCTCATTCTGGACGAGGACGGGCGGTGGCGGCGGCGGTTGGCGTCCGACGAAGATCGTGTTTGGATCCCGATAGGGCTTCAGAAATTGGACATGAAAGGCGTTGTGAATCTTCCAGGTAGCTGGCACACGTAAGCGGAAGGTAACAGGAGTGACCTGTGCATCAACGAGAAAAGGCCCGCAGAAGCGAGGTCAAAGTTTAGATGGGAGGTGGCTGATGTCCAGGTTGCGGGTGTTAAGAAGCACCTGGTCTCCCACCGTGATGGTGTGGTCGTTGCGATGGCGATCGGCCTGGCGCTTTTGTTGCTGCTGAATGTCGAGAAGGCGTTTATGGGTCCGATCCCAAAGCTGATGCATGGTTGTGATGAAATTATGTGCAGGTTGGACTGTAGCGGATGTTGTTGGTTTCTGTGGTGTGCGTGGGTGGTGTCCGTAGCAGAGGAAGAACGGCGTCTGTCCAGTAGCGGCATGTGTAGCGTTGTTGTAAGCAAACTCTAGAACGGGCAGGTGCAAGTCCCATTTGGAGATTTCGTCCTTGCAGGCTGCTCGGAGGAGTTGCTCGACAATCTGGTTGAGGCGTTAGGTCTGTCCGTCTGTCTGCGGATGGTAAGCGGATGACATGGCGAGTTTGGTCCGAAGCAGAGACATGAGTTCCTTCCAGAACTTGCTGGTGAACTTGGGGTCTCGGTCGGAGATAAGTGTGGTTGGAATGCCATGCTGTGAGATGATGTATCGAATGAATAGTTGTGCTGTCTCCTCAATGCGTGCTGTCGTGTGTGTCGGGATGAAGTGTCCCATTTTGGAGAACTTGTCGATGACGACAAGGATGGCGTCATAACCGCTGGTGGTAGGTGGTAACCCGATGATGAAGTCCAGGCTAACCACTTGCCATGGCTGTTCTGGGACAGGAAGAGGCTGCAGTAGTCCCGCCTTCTTCTATTTGCTCTTCATCCGCTGACATGTATCACATGATGTGACGAACTTCTGAACATCTTCTGCCATGTGGGGCCAGTAGTAGTGTTTTGCAATACCGGTCAGCGTCTTGTTGCTACCGAAGTGTCCGACGTAGAGGATGTCGTGGTATTCTTCGAGTAGTAACTGGCGCAAAGGAGGGTAATTGGGTACCCAAATTTTCGTTGACCCTTTCCGGTACGCGATGTCACTGTCCCACTGCAGCAGATGTCGTTTCTCTGCCAAGGGAATCTCGGGGTCGGTGGCGTACTTGTGTGTGAAGAGTCCCTTGAGTAGTGGATTCATCCCTTCGACCTGAATAGCGGCAACGTGTGCAGGGCACCTGAGAGCGTCTGCTTTGTTTTTGTGGCCGGGCTTGTACACGATGTCGTAGTGGAAGTGTGTCTCGAGGAAGTCGATCCACCGGACCTGCCGCCTGGAGAGGTTGGGTTGTGTCTTTAAGTATTTCAAGCTGCAGTGGTCAGTGTAGACGGTTGTTCTTCGTCCTTCGAGATAACATCTCCACGCTTTGAAGGCGATGATGATAGCTAGGGCCTCCTTGTCGTGTATCGGGTAGTTGAGTTCTGCCCCGTATAGTTTCTTACTCAGGTAGGCGATTGGTTGCAGTCCATTCCCTTGATCTTGCATCAAGACTGCTCCCACTGCCTGGTCACTGGCGTCAGCTTCGATGACGTAGTCGCGTTCGGGATCTGGCAAGATGAGTACTGGTGCGGACGTAAGTGCTTGCTTCAGCTGCTCCATGGCTTCCTGGTGCTTCGGCTCCCATTTGTAGGGCGTGTTCTTCTTCAGCAGATTCGTGAGTGGTGCTACGATTCTCTCATATTGTGGCACGAACCTGTTGTAGTAATTAGCGAAGCCTAGGAACTGCTGCATCTCCTTCACGTTCTCGGGTATCTTCCACGTACGTACGGCTTCGATTTCCTGGGGTCGACGTGAACTCCTTGAGCGCTCACCAAGTGTCCTAGGAACTGGATCTTCTCAAGGGCGAATTCGCTCTTGGACAGTTTGACGTAGAATCGTTCGCGTCGAAGAATTTTGAAGACGCGTCGCAGGTGTTCGACGTGCTGCTTCATGTCGCGCGAGTAGATGAGTATGTCATCCAGGTACACCACCACGCACTCGTCCAAAAGTGGTCATAGAATGTGGTTCATTTTGGCTTGGAACGTTGCAGGTGCGTTGGTGAGTCCGAACGGCATTACCAAATACTCGTACGATCCATACCGAGTTCGGAAAGCAGTTTTGTGGATAGAGTTGTCCGCCATCCGTAGCTGCCAGTATCCGGACCGCATATCCAGTTTGGAAAATACCGTGGCTCATCGAAGCTGGTCAAGCAGGTCATCAATTCGTGGAATCGGGTACTTGTTCTTTATAGTCTGCTTGTTGAGAGCTCGGTAGACGATGCACATGCGCAGACTTCCGTCTGGTTTCGGTGTGAAGTGTACTGGGGCAGCGTATGGCGAAGTGGATGGTCGGATGAGTCCTTTGGCTAGGAGATACTCGATCTGTTTTTTCATGTTGGTGAGCTCCATAGGGCTGAGCCGGTATGGTGCTCGGAAGGTCGGCTTCGAACCCGGTTCCTCTACGATCTCGTATTGATGCGTCCAGTATGGCGGTAGCTCGTCCGGAAGATCGTCCGGTAGAATGTCTTGGAACTCCTTCAATAATTCCTTGATCTTTCCTGGAGGTTCCGAGGTTCTCTCCATGTCGTTCTTCGCCTCTGTTGCTATCGCCAGGAACCCTGTGTCGGTTCGCTTCACGTCCTTCTCGAATTGTGCGAGTGTCTCCACTGGGATATCTCATGTATCGTCCCAGTTGGGTAGCTGTACTCTCCGTCCATTGTTGTAGATGCTTGCGGTGCGGTTCACCCAGTTGATCTCGGGGTTGAATCTTTTTCAGGAAGTCTCGCCCAAAGATCAATTCAAGCCCTTTGATGTTGGTGATGGGGAGTGCAGGTCTCCAGCGTAGTGGTCCAATTTGCAGATGTAGCACTGCTTCCCCGTGTACTGGTAACTTGCTGCCGTCCACCATCGTTGCAGAGAATCCTGAAGGCTTGTACTCTTCCCAAAGTCGATCGATTACTGCCTTGTCATAGACGGTGTGTGATGCTCCGCTGTCCACGAGTGCTTGGAGGCATCGTCCTTTGCAGATGACCTCGAGAACAAGGGGCATGCGTTGCTCGGAGTACCCAAAGATGGTTTCATTGATTGGGTCATAGGGTACATCCCAATATTCCGTACACACCTTTGTGTTGCTATCTACTCCTGAGCTGGCAGCTGGCCGAGGCTGCTTGGAGAACGGCTCTTCTCCAGGGCCCGGAGTTTCCTTGACGACTGTGCGCGTCACTGATGCCGAAGAACTGGATGCATCCGTAGGAGGAGTTCGGGGTTTGTGCAGCTTCTTATAGACCCCCAGCTTCCTCTTGAGCTGCTTCAGCTCCACCGACGTCTTCCCTGGGGAACGGGTAGTCGTTGTGGGCTGGTGTCAGGAGAGGACGTTAACTCCGTGGAAAGGTCGGCTTCTTTCCACACTCCTTAATTTGGTCCCCAAGTTGTCCGGTACCGGTATAATCTCCACAGCTGTCTGCTTCTTTTGGAGTCCCTCCCGAAATTTCTCCAAGGCTCTAGCCCTTTGAGAATTACAAGTTTTCATTAAAGCATCTTTATAGGATAACTTTAACGAACCCTTATAATTTCTTGGGTCTTCAAGGAGTTTCCTTGTCTCGGCAGAGTCTTTTTTCGCGGAGTCGTATTTTTCCTCGGCGATTTTCCCTGGCGAAGACTGGTCGTGGGGTGGAGATTTTCCCCCATCATTTCCTCCTTCTCGCGTCGAATCAGCTTTGTCGAAGTTGATTTTCCTGGAATCCCGCGGCCGCTTCCGGATCTTTTTATTTTCGCCAGCTAGATCCGCAATCACTGGCGACTCCCGTTTTTTGTCTTCTGATTGGCCGAAGGAATTCCGCCACTGTTGCGTGTCCGATACTCTGCGCGTGCGGCTTTCATTTTATTGCAGTCGAAGATTCGATGACCCGGCACCCCGCCAAAATCACACGTGTAGTTGGTGTTTTTCAGACGTGGCCGCCCCTCGAATCTGTCGACTTCCATCGCGTCGGTGACGTGGGGTGAGCCGAACGGTCGCCCTGTCACGTACTGCCGACGTGCGTCCGTCGTGTCCCGGCGTTGACCATGTCGAAGCGCTCCGCTGCCGAAAAGACGTCACTGTAGTTCGCGTAGTTTGACGTTGCTACCTGTCGTTTGACTTCGGTCTTCAGCCCGACGAGGTACGATTGTACTCTTTCCCCTTCTGTCAGATCGGGAATTCGGTTATAAAATTCCTCCATCTGTTGCGTGTACTGGGCTACACTCCCGAACTGTTGGTGTCGATGAATTTTTTCCCGGGCAAGGAAACTGGAATTTATCGGCTCGAAGCGTTTCAGCAGGTCGGCGCGGAACTGCTGCCACGTGGCTTCACCGTGGATGAAGGTACTGTTGCCGCCAATCCACTCAAGTGCCGGCCCTCGCATCAGTGTCGCCGCGAGTCGTACACGTTGACCGTCCCAGACTGGCGAGCTCCATCCGACGGCTGCGAAGTAGATCTCCATCCCGGCGATCCATCTGCGGGCGTCGGAGTTTCGATCGCTCGGATCGAACGGCTCAGGTGGGCACGGTTTCGGAGCCTCGAGAAACTGCTGCGACTGTTGCGTCATCGCCGTTGTCGAGTCGTGCTGCGCTCCGACGTGTCGAGTTACTCGCTCGAACTCGTTTCGCCACGCTTCGCGATCCGCTCGCATCTCCTCCTGAAGGTCTGCGATGCGCGCGAAGAGCTGCTGGGCAACCTTGGTGTTGTCGAAGGTTGCCATCCTGTTCAAAACACGCGCGGGGGGGGTGATTCGAAAAAACGCGGAGCTGGTGCTTACCAGAATCGGCGTCGAACTGGTCGCCCCCGGCGGTTTTTTGAGGCAGGTTTTCCCGCTGCTGCTGCTTTGTTGAGCGTGGCCGAGTGAGAAAAGCTCTGATTACCAAGTGTCGCAGGATCGAATGACTCGAGGAAAGATTGCACTATCGATCAGTACAAGGCGCTTTTATACTTCCAGAGTACATCAGGTAACCAGGTTTATCTTATCCTAAGGGAATAGACCCTTCTAGAAAATAGAATCACCCTGCGTATAGCCATGCGAGGCTATTGGCTTTAAGGGATTACGGCAGGATTACGCTAGATATAGCGCCCAGTACATCCCAAGCCTGGTCGGTGATATAATTATAATAGCAGGATAAACCAAAGGTTAAAGGAAAATGGAGAATAGGAAACCAAATGAGATGAGATAAAAAGAGAAATGAAATAGGAAGGAAATAAGGAAATGCCAAGTGGTGTAACGGGGTCGTACTCTCACACCACCGCACACTATCGCTTTCCACCGCTCTCCACCGCTCTCCATCGCTCTCCACCGCTCTCCATCGTTCTCCACCGTGCTCCACCGCCCTCCACCACTCTTCACAGCACCTGCCTGCCCCCCTCCTCCTCCTCCTCTTGTGGTCGTCAGCTGTTGCAGCCGTGGTGATTGCGGACGCTGTGCTCCGCCCCGACGCGGGGGGTGAGGCAGTTGACTTAGAGGCGTGGCTCCCCAACCTCCGCCGCCAGCTGAAGTTTCAGCGTTAGGATGGCCAGTCCCTGGCCGTCCACATCGACGGTAAGCTCCCCTGCCCCGACCCGCCTGCTGCCCTCCCAGACGCCCCCTCGCCTACTGAGCATGAGGCTTTTACAGCTGCTCAGCTTGCCCGCTCTGTCTGGGAGTTGAGAGACACTGTTGCACAGCTTGCTATTAGTCACACCCTCCCCCTGCCAGAGGGTCCCCGCTTTCAGGCCATAGAGACTGCGGAGGAGTACCTAGATTTCGGCATTGCGCGCTATTCTACTCCCTCCTATGCCTCTGCTGGCCACCTACTTCTGCCCCTGCTCTTCCCTGATCTTCCGTCCTTCCCTACTATCGTTGATCTTGCCATTCATCTGTACGCATTTGAGTCTAGCTACCGCGCTGCTAGCAATGAGGCCCAGCTCACTGTACTGCCTCCACCCTTTGGCGCTACCCTCTACTTCCTAATCATGCACCTTCCTGACCACCTCGCCACTGCATGCGACGCCTTCCTTAGTCTCCACCCCGCTGACCTCACCCTTACCGAGTTTGTCACCACCCTGTCCGCGAAAGAAACCCGCAAGCGCACTATCGCTCAGTCTAGCGATGTTGCGGTGGTCCCTATCTTCCAGGGTTGTGCTCACTCCCAGTGCACTTTCTCTGACGTTTTTTCTACAGTCGCTCAAACAGCCCCTGCCGCTAAGTCCGCTGCAGCGGCCTCAGCGCAGCCTCGTCAGGGCAAGGGCCACCGCCCCAGAGGGGGGCGTGGCAGAGGGAGGTGTGGCGGGGGTGGCGGTGGTGGCAGAGGTAGTGGGTGGTGGTGCGAGTGCCGGTGGTACAGACGAGGGGGCCGGGGCTGATGCCCCGGCGAATCAACAGGAGCAGCAACAACAACAACAACAACAACAACAACAAGAACAACAACAACAAGAACAAGAACAAGAACAACAACAACAACAACAGCAACAACAACAACAACAACAGCAACAACTACAACAACAACAACAGTTGCAGTAGCAGCAGCAGCAGCCGTGGGGACCCCCGTCATGGTGGCCTGGCGGCTTTGGTGGCGGCCCACGCAGCTCGACGTCCAGTGCTAGCTCCAGCTCTGTGAGTTGCCAATACCAGCTCCAGACTGATCCCTTTCGTGGCACTGTGTGTGGCCGCTCTGGTATCACCGCCGCCCGCTGCTACCGTCGCCTCGACGACCTCTTCCGTCTCCGCTTCGGCCCAGGGCCGGACCTCCCGGACTGGCCCAACCTGGTACGTCGCCGCATGCCTGGCTTTGAGATGGATATGGATCAGATTTGCTGTACTTTGTATGGCATGTATGCTAATAACTCTAGTGTGACTGGACCATATTATCCTGTGTTGCCTGGCGTAGGTGTACCCACTATGTGTAGTCTAGGCTCCCCTGCTGCGTCAGGCGTAAGACCTCCTGACTTGTTTAGCCTTGGCTCCACGCTAGTCCCTCCCCCGACTGACGCTACCATCGCTCTCTCCTTTACGCTGGACTCTGGTGCGTCCGCCTGCTTCTTTCGCGACCACACTACGCTTACGCCGCTTGCCGTCCTCGCAGCCATCACTCTTACTGACCCTTCCTCAGGTCCGGTAGTTGCACGTAGTTCCACCACCCTTCCCTGTTCGGTAGTTCCCTCGGGCTCCCTTACAGGCTTGCATATCCCCTTGTTCTCCAAGTTCCTAGTTGGTGTTGGCTGTCTCTACAACCTCGGCGTCACCACTACGTTTCTTGGATACGAGCGGTACGCAGCCTGTACCGATGCCGCCACTGGTGCCCCCCTCATCACGTTCCCCCAGGACCCGGTGTTCGGCTTGTTCACGCTAGACATTGTGCCCCCCCCTGATGGGGGCGTCCCCCTAGGTGGCTGCGTCTACTCAGGTCACTGCGGCTTGCTCGTGTTGGTCGCTCACTCACCCGTCGCTGTTGTGGCACCATCGCCTAGGTCAGTTCGCACTCATGCGTCTACGTCACATTACACAGCCCGGTCGTGTCTTAGGTCTACCTGCATTGCTTCCTTCCCTCCCTCCCTTGCCTGTGCCTCCATGCACACCTTGCGTCGAGGGCCGGCTGTGTCGTGCCCCTCATTCCTCCTCATTTCCCCCCACCAGTGCGCTACTCCAGACCCTGCACTTGGACATCGGGGGCCTAGCCCCCGTCCTCGGGCCGCGTCGCGAGCGTTACTTTCTTGTATACATTGACGACTTCATGCGTTACACTATGGTGTTTCCCCTGGAGCGGAAGGACGATGTGCTTGATGCTCTTATCCCATGGCTTGTAGCTGCTCGAGTCCACAGCGCCCTGCTTGTGCTCCATCCCCACTCCGACCGTGGCGGTGAGTTTGCCTCCGGTCGACTTGGCCAGTTCTCTCGTGCAAAGGGCATCACCCGGTCATACACGCTGCAGGACTCCCCACTGCAGAATGGGGTTGCTGTGCGACACATCGGTTTGGCTATAGGGGTGGCTCGTACCTCCAGGATCCACGACGATGCACCCCATTTTTTGTGGCCGTTCACAGTGCGCTACGCTGCTCACCAGCTTAACCTGTGGCCGCACTCTAAGAGGCCGTAGGTTTCCCCGACCCTTTTCTGGACCGGGGCCCCTCGTGACGCGTTTGCGTTTCACATCTAGGGTTGCCTCGCTCACGTCCGCGACTCTCGCGCGGACAAGCTCACTTCTCGCACCGACCCCTGTATTTTCGTTGGCTTCCTCTTGGACGCGTCTGACTGTATTTGTTTCACGCGCGTAACGTCACTTTTGACGAGTCTGTACCCTTCTATATCCACTTTTACCACCGAGCTCTCCCGGTCACCCCACCCCTGTTCTTTGTCCCCGCTCCCCGGTACCTCCCACTCCCCGTCTGGTGTATCTCGCGTCACCCCCCTTCCCTTGGTTTCCCCAGCGGAGGAGTCTGGTGACTCAGGGAGCCGTGCAGCTCACGGTCCGCCGCCTGTTTCTACGTCGCCTGCACCCTCGGCCCCAGTGTCTCCTCAGCCGCGGAAGCAGCAGCAGCCGTCGCAGCAGCCGCCACCGCTGTAGCAGCCGTCGCTGTCGCAGCCGCAGCAGCAGGGGTCCGCGAGCTCTGGGGGTCATGGCACTAGGAGTGCGGGTGCTGAGGAGGGTGCTGGTTCTAGGGGTGCTAGTTCTGGGGGTGCTGGTCCTTGGAGTGCTCGTCCCGGGGGTGCTAGTCCTGGGGGTGCTGTCGTGGCGAGTCCTGGAGGTCGCAGTGGTGCAGCTGTAGGTTGTAGTGTGGGCGTAGAGCAACAGCAGCAGCAGCCGCTGCCGGTGCCCGCCCTTCACCTCCTCGGACTTCCCTCCCCCGACGACTGCCCACACCGCCCCCGGCGCCGCCACCTCCTCGTCCGGTCTTCGGCCCTGTGTTTCCTCCGCCGGACTCATCCCCGACTCGTTTCCTCCCTCGTTCTACCCCTTCGTCTCCTCTTGTGTCTCCTGACCCGACGCCTCCTTCCCACTTTATCTCGCCGTCCCTTTCGTGCTCGCCCTGCCTCTCTTGTTCAGCGTTCTCATCCGATGTTGCTCCATTCTCACGCATCTCGTGCTCGTCCTGCTCCTCTTCTCCCATCGCCTACTCAGTCGTCCCTTGCTGTCTCTCCACCCCCTAACTCTAACTTCCTCCATGCTGCGCGTCCTCTTGTCCCTCTTGTCCTCGCCTCCCTAGTCATCGGCCCGTGCGTTCCCGTCTCTAGTCTCGACGCTCGCTGCCGTCACTGACTTTGCCTCTACCCGCCGCCTTGACTACGCCACTACTCTGGTCTCCGACCCTGCGCGTCCTCCGTCCGACAGGGGTGCACCTGCCCTTGGCAGTGACGTCCTAGAGGACATGCAATACAAGCTAGCTTTCCTGTTCGAGGCCGAGCCTCATCTCTAATCCATGCTGCTAGCCCCGCAGGGTGACTAAGATGCTCTTGACAACCCAACCCCTCGCACCTACACTGAGGCGACCTCGGGACCCAGGGCCTCTCAGTGGATACTGTAGCTGCCATGGATGCAGAGATGGCATCTTGGAGATCCAGCAGCACCTACGTCGACGCAGTTCCCCCACCTGGGGCGAACGTAGTCAATGGCCAGTGGCTCTTCAAGGTGAAGCGCCCTCCTTGAGAGCTGCCTTTGTTCAAGGAGTGCTACGTTGCTAGAGGCTTCAGTCAGTGTGAGGGTGTTGACCTCTTTCAGACCTTCACCCCAACACCAAAGATGACCACTCTTTGGGCACTGCTTCACGTAGTAGCCGTGCGCGACTATGAGCTGCACTCCCTCGACTTCTCCACAACGTTTCTCCAGGGCAGTTTGCACGAGCGGATCTACCTGCGCCGATCGCCATCTCTGGCACTTGGGACCGAGTGGTTCCTCCGGCGCCCGGTTTACGGTCTGCGCCAGGCGCCCCACAAGTGGCACGACACGCTGCGTGCTACGTTAACCAACCTGCAGTTCCCGTCCTCTGCTGACCCTTCTCTCTTCGTTCGCTCAGGCCAGACTCCGTTCTACATCCTAGTCTACGTAGATGACGTGGTCTTGGCTACTGCAGACGGAGACGCACTGACCTCGGTGAAGGCTGAGCTGCTGAAGCGACACACCTGCACTGACCTAGGAGAGATGCGCCACTACCTTAGCCTGCAGACCTCCAGGGACAGAGCACCACGCACCATCACTCTCACACAGTCACACTTGGTGCGCCAGGTCCTTCAGAGGTTCGACCTTCAGTTCTCCTCCGCATAGCCTACACCTGTGCCTGTAGATCACATGCTCTCGGCTCCGATCCTGACGAGTCGGTAGAGCCTATTGGTGCATACGCATAGCTTGTGGGCTGCCTCATGTACCTGATGACTTGCACTCATCCAGATCCCGCATACCCTCTTTATATCCTGGCTCGCTTTGTGGCGACAGGCTGACACCGACCCAGTATTGGTTGTTTGCTAAGAGGGTTCTACGCTATCGAGCTAGTACATTGGGCATGGGGCTAGTGCTAGGAGGACGCAGGCCAGTCGTTCTCACAGGGCACACTGACGCTTCGTGGGCGGACAATGCTAAGACGCTCAGGTCCTTCCATGGCTACTACTTTAGCCTTGCTGCAGGTGCCATCTCGTGGAGGTCCACCCGCTCGTCGTCTGTTGCATAGTCCAGCTGTGAGGATGAGATCTACGCTGGTGCCATGGAGGCACAAGAGCTCCGCTGGCTGACGTTCCTGCTCATAAACTTAGGTGAGCGGCCTAGCTCTGCCCTGGTCCTGTACACTGACAACAGAGCCATGATCCTTCTGTGTCAGGAGCCTCGATTAGTGGGCAGAGCGAAGCACATCCAGCTGCAATATTTCCTACTATAGTAGCGCAGCCAGGCACGCCTAGTACACTTGGCCTCGGGTGCCTACACAACTGATATCTTTACTAAGGCGCTTGCGTCTAAAGATCATCAGCGGCACTGTGTACAGCTTGGCCTAGTTCTACACTTGCTAGGTTCCTGATTGTGTACTAGGTACTCCTTATATTATCTTGACTGGCCTTGTGGCTCGAGTTCCATTGGCTGGACTAGTAGTGTCACCCTCGTATACACTTGTTTAGCTTGTACTCTTGCTGACTGGTCTTCAGACCCTCACCTCAGAGGTTGGACTAGTAGTGCCACCCTGAGCTGCGTGTCTCTTCCTAGGCACTGCCCCTTGTCTAGCCTAGGGGGTGTGTCAAGTTCTATATTTGTAGTTATAGGCAAGATTGGTGCATGCTCTTATAGAGTACAACCCTCTAGCATAATAACGCCCTGTATGCCCTTGCTTAGTTCAACCCGCTATTCTCTAAACCCCCACAACTTTTCGAGTTCCAGCCTGCCATCGCACATTGTTGCAGTAGTCGATGTGAAGGCAAAATCTCTGCGTGGGTGTGTGCACCTCTTCAAGAAGCCAAAAATGTTCGTACATAGGATTTTGTCAAAACGGGGCATACAGAGGGTGATTGATAGGACGGCATGGCACTCGGAAGCAGGAGCTATGAGGGCAAAAGAGAGGGTGTGGAACTCATAAGGAGGACCTGAAAGGATGAAAAGGAGGGTGCAACGCTCAGGAGTGCGTCAATGTGGGGCTGGCCCATCGAGGGAACCTCCACGAAAGAAGAGGCTAAA